GGAGGCTTGGAGCCATTCTTTGGAAGAGTAATATATTTAAACTACAAAATACTGTCTCAGTTATCTTTCGTCCAAAGTTCCTTTTTTTTGTTTAAATTTGGTGATATTGGGGACTGAACCTAGGACCTCACATTTACTCGGCAAGCACTCTATCACTGAGCTATATCCCCAACCTTCTTTGTTTTTTACTTCTTATTTTAGGCAGCCAGAGCTGGTGTTAAACTTTGTAGCCCATGCTAGACAGTGTCACTAAGTGTCCAGTTTGGTGTTAAACTTTGTAGCCAACATAGGCCATGCATTTGCCATTCTTCTGTCCTGGTCTCTTTAAGTAGGTGGGATAATAGGTTGGGGGCTACCATGCCTGGCTTGCAGCATACTCATTGCAAGTACCATAAGACATGGCTTCACAGACCAAGGTTTCTCATCTAAACCCTTAGTCTCAACTGGTAGAATTTCAGGGAGTGATCATCAGGGCCACCTCAAGGATAGGAGGGCTGGGGGAAATTTAAGTCACATAAGCAGCTTTGAGTCTTATCCTTTATTGAAGGATAACTTCCTAACTCTGCGGTGAATCCGAGTAAAATATAATTTTCAAGGTCAGCCATCATGCCTCTCAAGGTAAAAGCAAGAGATTTGGATGAAAAGAATTAAAAGGAAGGGAAAAAATGTCTTCTGTGTACTTGCTCATGGTTCAAACTAACCTCATGAGCCAGAGCAGGAGTAAGCAGTCTGTGTGGAGAAGACTGCTCATTAAAGTTTAGATCATGATGAGGAAGTATTTCCTCTGCATGTTCTTAGTGAGCTGCAGGGACTAAGACTGATGAGTGACAGAAAACAACACAGCTCTGAGTTCCTCTCTTCTCAGGAGTTCCAGGGAGAAGAGAACCCCAGTGTGTAAGACTGGAGTGATCTGGTTACTTTGCTTATCCATTAATAAAATGTTTTTAAAAGCAACTTAAACTGATTTATTTTGGACCAGTTCGAGAGGGTTACAGTTTATCATCATGGGGGAGTGTGGCAGCTGTAGCTGATTGACATAGATGGGCAGCTGGTTCCATTGGGTTGGTTGGGAAGTGGAGAGCCTGGGTAAGGATTCAGTCTGGGCTATCCCCTTCTAGCGCCTCTGCTACAGGCCTGTATCTGCCAGTTAGATCCCATGTCCAAAAGGCTCCACACTTTACAAAACAGCACCACAGGTTGAAGGACCAAATGTTCAAACATGGGAATCTGTGGGGATCTATTTCATATTCAAATCATAACAGGGAATGAGACAGTCATCTTCCAGGAAGACTAGATGTAATCAAGACTAAACATGTTCCTTTACTGAAAGTAGGCTTAATTAGGATTTGGTCTCAGAGCCAGTTGGAAGCAGGATAAAAGGTCAGAAGTAGATTATCATCCAAACTGACCTCACAGCTAGGCTAGCAGAATGACTCAGCTTTAGTGTTCAGCATGCATGAGGCTTTGCGTTAATAGTTGGTGAGGTGTGTGAGCACTGAGAGTCTGGAAAGAGAGAGGAGGGTTACGATTGGGTAAGAGCCAACCCCGCCAGGTCAAGAACTGGGGAGAGGGCTCTCTCATCTTATTCCTAACTTACAGATCCTAAAGACATAGAATATCTTGGAACTCAAATCCAATCAATGTAAAACTGTTTATTCTCCTTATATTAAAATGATTACTCTAGACAGAAAAGGATCTGGGTACATACATATGCAAATAAGAGGGGCAGCAAATTGAATGGATGTGTTTGTTGTCTTGCTGTTGTAATACACTATACTGAAAAGAGTAATAATTACGGTGTGGGCTGGGACCGCAGCTCAGTGATAGAACACGTGCCTAGCAAGCACAGGCTGTGACTTTGATCTGGCACAAACAACCCAAGAGAAAGAAGGCATAACATAAAAGCTCAGTCATGAGCTACTTCTACCAGAACTTTCTGGTTCTCGAGTTCAATGTCACATCTTTTAAGGGGGATAAATTCATATGAATTCCAATGAGAATATAATTTTTCTTGTTTAATGCTACACAATGATAAACTCACATCATATTTAGAAACTTCAAATGGAAATAAAGATAATCCAGGAAACAAAACAAATCTTGGTTTCTAAACACCCTTCAGAAGCCATTACTAGGTGACTTGAAAGACAGGTTTAAGAGTTTTTCATGGGTTAAACTTAGAACTAAACACCAGCTCAGCTACTTCTTTTGTCTAAGATTCTCAGCTTACATGAGCACAAGTCTGTCTTAGTTGCTCCAGCTCTTGGTTCTTGCTCTGGAAAAGCCAGCTGCTATATCAAAAGGGCATTCATCGCCCCCAAAGAGAAACCCATGCTGTCAAGAACTAAGGCCTTTTTCCAGTGGCCAACGAGGAACCAAAGGTGCCAGCTGGCAGTCCAATGATGAGCTATCTTCAGTCAGATCCTCTCAGCTATGGTTAAATCTGTGAATGATTGCCACTGAGCCTCAAGAGAGATGCTGAGGCAGGATCATGTCAATCTGCTTGTGGATTCTTGGCCATCATAGCTGTGTAACAAAGCTGCTAACTTTTATTATGCAGAAATAAATAACAGACTCTATGCCTAAGGATAATCTTTCTTCTACATGAAAGCTAAACAAAAATCAAGATGAGAGACAAAGAAAACAGTGTCTTGGCCATTGTCAGCTTCTCTTGCGGGCACATCTAAATTCTTTGAGATAAAGGACTGTGGGCAGGTCCTCGTTCAGCAGTCCACATTTATTTTGAAAGTCATAGAGAAGGGGGTTAGTTTTAGTTCTAGGGATGTATACTTTTTTCTTTGAACTGGAGTATCTACTTCTGAGAAAACAAATCAAGAGACTTTGTAAGAGGCTAGGGTTTTTCTGTGGAATGGGATGGGGGCCTCAGCCTCGTTTGGGTTGAGATTTAAAGTTTCATTTATTTTTATTATTATTATTATTATTATTATTATTATTATTATTATTATTATTATTATTATTATCCTAATACAACTAAAGTATGAAAAGTATTATTTGATTTCTCTACTAGTTCTTGTTATGAAAACATTTGAAGACAAGAGAAATAAGGATCCATTTCCTTCAGCTTCTCTTTATTTCTCTTTCCATCTTACAACCAATGCAGTAACTTTAGCAAGAAACACTAAAAATAACATCATATACAAAGCATCGCCTAAGTGCATCCATCATAGACACAGACAAAACCCGTGTCTGAAAATGGTTTTCTAAATAGGAGAAGTATGTTTCATACAAAAAGTCCATTTTCTGTTATTGCCTTTTTGATTTGGACTACTAGATGCTATACATTTTAGAGTAATTTTAACAGTTTCTTGTCTCTTGCTAACAAGAATGACTTGTCATAATGAGCAGTGTAGACACTGTCCATTTGATCTACTCTAGAGAGCTGTCTCTTTGAAACAGAGCAAATTGCCTCAATTCCTTTGTGGAATGAGCTGAGTACAAATAAATAAGACACAAAACTAAAAAAATGTGGTCAGTTTTATCTGAAGGCAACAAAGGGCTGGGATATCTAGAAGCTCTTAATAAAAAAGTGACAGGACAGAGAATTACATGAGTAGAGTAAAGAGGGGAATAATTTTTCCTAACATAAACTGTCCACAGGATAGTTTCTTATTTAGGAAAGTGGATGATTTTGTAGTTTAATAACAGTTCTTAATTCTTTCAAGTTGGAAGATTGAAATTCACTTTTAACTCCAAAAAAGAATTTTAATTGTCAGTACTTTTTTTTTTTTTTAAATAATTTATCACATTGCTCATCTGGGTAGGAATTTTGGATTCCATTTTGGTTAAATAGACACTTTGAAGGTGTCTTTTTTGTTATTATTTTGCATGTTTTACTTCAATGGTTAAGTTTTTGTCTTTGCTGTTTTGTAAGACACGGGCACCTAAATATCCTAATTTTTCCTTTTAAAATTAGTGTTTAGTGCTGGGCGGTGGTGGCGCACGCCTTTAATCCCAGCACTCGGGAGGCAGAGGCAGGCGGATCTCTGTGAGTTCGAGGCCAGCCTGTTCTACAGAGCGAGATCCAGGAAAGGCGCAAAGCTACACAGAGAAACCCTGTCTCGAAAAACCAAAAAAAAAAAAAACAAAAAAAAACAAAAAAAACCCAAAAAAATTAGTGTTTAGTACTGCCTCTTCGAGAATTACATAAATGTCATAGTACATTTGAGTATTAATTTTTACGAGTAGCATCTGAAAAAATACAGGTATTTATTCATTTGGTGCTGGGAATTGTACATGCTAAACACATACTTTCAGCTATCCCCCAACACTGACATTTTTTGATGAAATATTAATAGAGCTATTATTCTATGTTAGGCTTAGGATTCCAGCTGGGGATGACACTTACTAAGAATTTTACTCTGTAGGAATTAGGAAATAGTAGTAAAATAGTTCTTAAAATTAAATCTCAGCACACCTTTTATTTATCTATTGGAGACTGTTTTCCATTTAATCGGAATCTCTGGGGTAGGACTTGAGAATCCACACTTTAGTAGTTTCTTTCTGTGATTCTAAGGCAGACTGAAGTATAACGAACATTGGTGTAAAGAAAGCTGGAGGGGAAAAAAAAAAGCAGGGCACAGCACATGCTGTGCTATCCTAGCACTCATGAGGTAGAAGCAGGCAGATCTCTAGGAGTTCAAGGCCAGCCTGGTCTACCTAGTGAGTTCCTAGGACAGCCAGAACTACATAGTGAGAACCTGTCTTGAAAACAAAACAAAACAAAATTTAAAAAAGAAGCTGGAGGGTACAAGAATAAGCAATTTACATTTTGATTGTAGCTTTGACACAATGTTCAGAGTACAACATTAGTACCTAGGAAAAATAAATGATAGCCACTGTCTCTACCAAGAGAAACAAAAGCAGTTAAGGTGATATTCACGTGTCATTTTGAAAATGATGTGCCAAAGGAAAGATGGGAGGTGCAACTTGGGGCATTTGAGTAGCACTGTTCCAAGCATATATTTACCAAAGTGGACACTCACAATGTTTTGCCTTGTCAGTTTCTATCTGAAGACTCCTATTAGCAGCCTCTTCTGTATTCTATAGTGACTCTGGTAGCTTCATTTTCTTTGATGACAAATATGTCTATACAATAGGTTGTAAGTAATTGTAAAGGTTAATGGCACTTCAATGTTAACATTTTAAACACACACACACACACACACACACACACACACACACACACACACACACATTTTAAAGACTCTAATGGAGCCAGAACTTGTCTTTTTGGGTTTTAGAGTAAACCTGTATGATTTAAGGACAGAAGGCTCAGTCTTGGCTGACTAAATTAAAGAAAATAGATTTTATATATTCTTCTAATCACTACTAGCAATTAAAAAATACTTATAGGTCGACAGCGGTTCCGATGGATTACTAGTGGTATCAACTTAGCTTTCTGGTGTCCGCCCCAAAAGGATAATGTCTAGAACTTCTTCCGTCCGAGCAAGGGAACTCATTCTCTCCAAGAATAGGTAGAAGAGTAATGTCAGGGCCAATCAGAAGGCTTTTACAAGTGGTACGCTCAGGAAGGACTGGCGGAAAACGGGACTTTGTTACCTTCATTCAGACAAAGAAGGCCATGCTAGTGGCGGGGGTGTGTGGAAATTTCCTGGTGGGTTACCAGACGAGGGGTTTAAACCTTGGTGGGAACGACAACTAATCAGATGGCCCCTTAACAGGGAAGCGTGAAGCCACTGCGGAGACGTTATTTTCCGGAATCCTGGAGAAAGAGTGAGGTGTGGCTGCGGTACCAGTACCAAAAATGGCGCGGACGCACGTCAAGGCCCGGTCAGGTGACACGGCTCCAATCCGCTCCCTTCCCTCTGTGGCCCCGCCTCTAGCTCCTCCCCATGTGTGGGCGTGACCTGCCCGGAGGTGATGTGGGCGTGGCCTGCCCGGAGGCGCTTTCTTTGGACATTTAGAAAGCATGGGCTACGCAAGCGCAGTCCGGCTCCAAGGCCGTTCTCCCCGCCCCCTCACCCATGGTCCCGCCCCGTTCTCCCGGCCGGGGCAGGGCCAGGCGTCCAGCGGCTGCTGGCTGGAGAGCCAGTGACTTCCTTGTTGTGAGTCTCGGCCTCGTAGCTGTGCCCCGGCTCGTAGCCCCGCGGTGCTCACCCGGACAGCTAGCGCGAGTCCAGGTCCCAGCCACAGCCATGCCCAACCCCAGCAGCACCTCCTCTCACGGCCCGCTCCCTGAGGAAATTAGGAACCTGTTGGCAGGTAAAGAGCGGGAAGGGGGCGGTGACACTGGGGGCGGGGGCGCGGGACGGCGAGCCGGCAGGGACAGAAGCGCTCAGCCTTCACCTTCTGCTGGCCGTGGGGGCGGGCCGAGTAGGGGGATCAGGGGCCAGGGTGTCGGGAGGAGAAGGGAGGGGGCGTGTATGCTGAAATATCCTGGTCCTCCCAGGAGAGACGGAGAGTTAAGAGTTTCCTAAAGACCCGAATGTGAGGGCGGAAGCTGGACAGCAAATGTTGGTGAATGCATGTGTGAGAAGTAGATGTCCAAGCACTAGTTCCTGGGTGGTCAGGCCAGTAGGGGTGCAGCTGTTAGTTAGCAAAGAGACTGTAGGGCCGCAGGTGTTGGGAGGTAGGCAGTGGCAAGGCGCTGTTTCCAAAACCCCCATTTTCTTGAACAGTCAGGTCAAACATGTTTACATTTTTGAAGGGTGCCTGGTTTTCAAATGGCCACTGCCTTCAGCCTCAGTAACTATTAAAGGGAAAAAGGGAAGGATGTGTTAAAAGTCCTACTTCCTGTGTCATGTGATGAAAGAAGTTCATCATTGCACCCTCATCTTCCCCCTTTCGGTTTTACATTCCCATTTATAGGAACTTTGAGGAGTTGAAATGTGGTTCCTCAGTACTGTTATGAATCTACTGTTAGGTCAGCAACGTATAGAGGTGTGTATTTCCACTTACGGATCAAGGAAAGCTCTATGGTTCTGCACAAAGTAGAAAATACATCTTTTTAGAGTAGCACAAGACTTGCCCATCCTGGTGGTCTTGGATACCATCATATATTTTGTCTTGTAGATGTCAGAATTAGTTTGATTGTCTTTAAAATATTTCTTCCAGTGCTGATTATGGATAATTGAATTAAAAAGTTTCTCCTAGATGCTTATGTTGTAAGTTGTGTATTTTAATTGTTAAAAAACAAGGTCATCGAAAATGTAACAGTTGGAACAATAATTTACTGTTGCAGTAGTGTGAGAACAAGCATCATAATACCTTGTTAAACTGTTGGATTGTGTGCATCATGAATAGATCAAAAAATGCAAATATGTGTATGGATGCAGACTTGTGTTTGTATGAGCATGATGCAGGGTGATGACAAACTATGTCACTCTGAGAATGCTTCTTGTCATTAACGAGTGTCACTAAGAGAAATGAGGAAAGACCTGGAAATGATGATGGAAGGAAGCATTTATTCTACTATATGAGCACTTATAAGAGAATCAGCTTTGTTTCACTATAGTTAACTTTTCCAATGCTGGAATTGCATGTCTAGAAAAGTATCTTAATAACTAGATCAAAGAAATGTTTTATTCCAGAAATGCCATTGTTTTCAGGTTATTCTAGGTCCATATGTTTTAATTAAAAAAAAATACCTGTTTAGTTTTTAAAGCTTGAAAGCTCCCTTAGTAGGCAAGTTATCATATGGATCCACAGCTATACTTCTGACATAGTATGTATGATATGGGCTATGACACCCATCATTCTCTGACCCTCATAGATTACAAGTATTTTCTGTGGCTCTCTCTTGTATCATGTAAACCAAAGCTCAGAAGTACACATTTATCTCCTAATGCTAACTTTCTGTATATGTCTGCCATCTTTTAAGTCAGAGGTTGTACTAGCACAGTTTTTGAAATCAGCTTTTTCTAAAATACATGAGGGATTAAAACAGTAAATATTTGCAGATTACAAGTTTGCATTACATTTTATTTTTAGAAGATATTTTAAATTCATGGATATGGTATATAGTAAAGGAATTAAACAAGTGAACTAGCCTTCTTCATAGCTTAAAACAACTTTTAAGTATTCAACGATGGCTGTTAAGATTTTATGTTTAATATCTTTAGACTAGATGCTCTCAATAGTTATTTCACCCTTGAATTTTACTGGAATGCACGTGGATGATTCCATCACTCAAATGTTTTGAGTGATATTACATGATTAAATATAGAATTGTAAAATTAGAGCGAAGTGTTTTAATTGATTTGGGTTTTAGAGACATTGCTGGCTTACTTAGTGCGTTTGTTCCTTTTTAAATGTAAGAAGAGGCACTGATCCTGGTACTTGTAAGTAGTTAAGGCTCTTAAAATTCATGGCACAGTGTGAATTAGATAAGGAACCAACCATTACAAGAATTTAAAATCCTCTGCTATCAGAAGAAAGAAAAATGACATTTAATTTTATGTTTCATCTGCTCATGATCTAAGTCATCATATGTCACACATGTTAAGTGTTTGCTTGATGGAAAGACAGGTGCTCAAATGTATTTTTTGTAATCATGTTTTCTCTCTGTCATTGTTTTGCTTTTTGATAGTAGCTTTAGACTACCATTTCAATATTTGCCCCCTCCTCATTTCTTTCCTCTTTAAAAAGACTGTATGGAAATGCAAAACTAAAGTTACTATTCTTAACTCACAGTTAGTAATATCCTTGAAAAAAATGACAGCATAGTTTGAACAGTTATAGTTTCTATAGCATCAATATCCTAAAAATTGAAGGCCTATAGTTTTTGAAAATAAGAAATGTTAAATTATACTTTTTAGAATAGTTTATATAACATTTTGTTGAATCAACCTTTGACCCCTTCCCTAACAATGGAAGAACAGGTTTATCTTGGATAATTAGAACCAAAGGATAGCCCTAAGTCTTGGCCATTTAATCTTACCCCATACCCAAATATTTTGACTGGGACTAATAGCAAGCATGGTCTTGATTTATGTGAGTTCTCCTGTGGCAGGCAGGAAGGTGAGCAGCTCTGGGGTGCTGCCTGCTGCTCTTGTTTGTGTGATTGCCCTTTAGATACGGGTTTGTCAGGAGTTTGCAATCAAATATCTGGACTCCTTCTCTGTGCATAGCATGACAACAATTTCAAAAGGGAAGCTAGAAGAGTGTGTTACCTTCTTGTTAATAAATTAGAAAATAAAACCAGTATTAGAAGAAAATAGCCATCAGCATGCTGAACAATTGAAATCAAGTCGAACAAACCATAACACAGTGACTATATGGTTTCAGCAAAGTGACCTTGGGATTTTGTTCAGATGGCAGTTTTGATTAGAAATATTGCCTTTCCCCCCTATTGGGGATTTCCAGAACAACTTTTTTTTTTTAAACCTTCACACAGTGTAATCAATAATCCCTTTAGGGGCACTTGATTAAGAATGCAATTCATTCCAAACTGAGGTAGGATGTTTTCAATGCCAAGTACAGTATGGTTTGCTCCTCACCTCTCCAATTCCTATTTATAATTTGGTCAACCTTTTGGTTTTATTTTCTGTATGAGATTTATGGTGTATCTAGCGTTCCTTCTGGAGCGTTGGCTGAGTATGCAAAGGGAAGAGTGCCACCTACTGAGTCACCAATAGGCACCTACTTCTTAGTACCTGGATTAGCCCACAGCGCAAGGACGAGCCTGCCCCACTTTGGCAGCGGCAACCTATGAGTATAAAGTTGCTAAGAGAACATTTGATCAGAAAGTGAAATCGTCCTATGGTGTCTTTAAGATAAGTTTCTTCTACAAATAGGGATATGAGTTTGCAAATCAAGGGACCAGAAGTTTATAGAGATTTTGTCTGGGTCAAATAGTATCTGTAAAGGAAGATGTAGCATTAGGAAATTTATTTATTTATCTTAAGAGTGAAATGCCGTCTGTTTTCTTGCTGGGGCCTTTTTTGGCATGGCTTTCCATTGAAAGCATTTTTGCCTTGGATTACTAAGTGAGTCTCTTGATGTTATGCACATTTAAATAGTCAATCTAATCTTAATCCACATTAGTTTCTTTCAAACATCTAAATGTACTAAAAAAAATGAGCAGGCTGTAAGCTTTCCAAGTGTGTTGGTCTCTGCTGGTGTCCGCCTTGAGGTACTTGTAGAAAGAAGGTAAGGACGCCAGAGGAAGGAAAGCCTCTGGTGGTTTGAAACACAGTTCAGTTGTCTCTCATAAATTGAACATTAAGTGTCGTATATGGGTGATAAAAGTGGCATAGGCTAGGTTTTATATACCCATTATTCATTTAGTTTGTCTTTTTCAATTAAAGCCAAGTCTGTCGTTTTCATTCCACTGAGTTTACATTTCTTTTTCAATCACATTCTGAACACATTACAATAGATGCTACCCAACAGTGGGTGGATATAGTGTAAATCTCAGACTAATGTGTGACTTCTTTGAAAATGTGTGGTGAAAAGATTTTGATTAGATAAATCTAAAGTGGTTTGAAAGATGGCCAGGCTTATCTTTCAACAGCTCAGCTTTTTATCAAAATAAACCATTTAGCTTGTAAAGCCAGTTTTGAAAATTTTG